AAGGTACCGCACAGGGTCCATCCTTGCGATTGCTCAGCGGATCATTCGTGTCAGAATCATGGAAGTAATTATCCCAGACTGCTTATATGATACTGTAGATCTTCATTGAATCGTTGTCTTATTCGTGACAGAACAAGAACTCTTATAAAATATGTAAAAATGTTGTGATGAATATTACAAAGAAATAAACACCCAAGAAACTAATATTACTCCACAGTAACATAAATAATCTTACTTATAAAATTTCATTTCTATTGACTTTTATTGGCATAGCCAAGATGAATGTTCAGTTCAAGAAACTATCGGCATCTCATTCAAGTTGAGAACAGACCAAAAACCTGGACTTTCACAACCTGGTTTATGATTAGTGTTACTGTCTTCCTTGGGATATTTTTAAAAACTTTGTTTCCACAATCCGATCCTGACCTCACACGCATTTTTCACACTTGAAGACCACAAAAAAGACCCACTCTGCTTTTTCCCATGAGTCCCTCACTCTGCCCCTCTGTTCTAGTTATCTCACTGTTGTCGAAGCAGATGCGTCCGATGGCACGGCCCGTGTGCAGTAGCAGGTCTTCATCAGAACTCTCCAGCAGGGGGACCAGGGCTGAGACCAGGCCTGCCTCAATGCAGGGCTCCCTCACTGTGGCTGGAAGACAGAGACATGGTATTCCTGCTGTCCATAGCCCACATCCAGGAACAAGGATTACACATCTCACGGCTCTGTCCATGAGTCTCAGCCATTTATAACAGCATAGCCAAGACACAGAAATGCATACTATGCAGTGGAGCCGTGGTAGCTCAGACAGCAAAGGTGTCCAGCTCCTGACTGCAAGGTCCTGGGTTTGATCCCAGGTTGGGGCAAGTGATGTAGCTTGCTCTAATTCCTTCCAGATGGCTCCCAGGTCCAATCAGCCTGCTTTCCAAATGAGTACTGGGGGTTAATCCTTCTGGGGGTAATAGGCTGGCCGGAGTGTGATGCTGACCACATTACCGCCACTTCCAGTGTCAGATGGTTCAAGAAATTGATGACCCTTGCCCCCCTTTTGCCATTGGCCTTTATGGCCTGAAAAGGGACCTACCTACCTATTGCATGTGGCACAAAACATACTGTATTGTATGAAGACACAAAGAGAGATCAAACAGACAGTATCACTAGTATACAGCATCTAACATCTGCTGCTCTTTCAAATTGCTAACACAAACTTTGTACATACTGTACGTCAGGCATTCAGAATTGAGCAGTTACTGGTTTTAAATCACAATCTCAAAATATTTTGCCTTTAATATTTAACTGAGTTGAATCTGGGACTGGGTGGCTCACAATGTATGCGTATGGTGCTTGTAAGTCAGAGTCCAGGGTTCAATTACCAACATGTCTTGCCCCACTGTGTTGCTCTACAGAAGAGTGGAAACGAAGGTCTGAGTGGCTCTAGTGACCCTCCCTATACTCAGTGTCAAGTATGAATTTATTTTCTCAGAAAATAAGAAATGTGTTGTCTTCTGGAACAAAACGTTCTCGACATTGTGCTAATTGTATGTTTTTAACCTCTACTTAAGGTGCTTAAGTACCTTTGGATCCTCCTTTTAAGAGTAAAATATATGACACTTCCAGGGCCATTCCTTACCCTCTCTGGCCAGCTCAGCGATCACCAGTGCCACCTGTATTGTGAGAGAGGTGTTCTTGCCCAGCGTCTGTCCCAGGATAGGCAGCACACCACTCACTGCAATCTGCTCAGCGGCGCCCTCTCCTTGTGGCAGAGAAAACAGTGGCTCAGATCCCTGCCGTAATACAGTAATCATTCTCTAATATACGTGTTACATGCCAGCCCTTGTGAGCTCTTAATTAACTTAATTGAGCTCATTTCTCTCGACAGTAGCATTTTATGGAATCTGAAGATAATTCAAAATGCAGATCGCAATTGATTCATAGTTAAAGTTGCCCCATTTTAATAAAAAAATAGTAACATACCTGTAGAGAAAACAACAATAATCATGTGAACAAAGACCACAGAAGAAGGGACAACATTATAAAGCAAAACCTTTACAGCTGGAATTTGCAAAACACAACTACTGTACCAATATACTCTTATATTCCAGCTTCTTCCCTCATTCTCCCTCATATATGTACGCTCAGCTTTTCAGGGTAAACACAGATCACACAGATGTGCAAAACAGTACAATGACATGAATCAAAGGAAATGTGACTTCAAACCCCAGCAAAATATCAGGAGAGCTGTTGGGGGAAATTAAAGTTTGGTCAAAAAAGGGTCCTCTCAGTTGCCGATGAGTTGCAGATAATTGTGCGAGGTGTTCTATGACAGATACATCATTCTTCTGCTCAGTGCTACCTCTCTTCCTGTTACAACAGAGCCTGTCGCATGATTTAGCAGCTCGGCACTTTGCAGGTGGAAGATTGCATTAGCATTCTGTATTTCTCCAGGCTGCAGGGACCGTAGCAGCAAGATTGCTAGGAAAAGAAAACTAAAACACACAGTTCTAAATGTATTTCTACACACTAACAGCAGATGGAAATAGGTATTGTCTCCCTGTGCTGATACAGATGCAGTCTAATCAACAAGCGCTTAGCTTTCAAGAACAAAACTAACTGTAGCTACTAGAAATTAGGGTGTTTTTTGAGGATTAAGCCTCTGATCTCAATGGCCCTCTGCTGTCCTTGCAGATGCTGATTGTATACTTAAGCCAGTGTGATTTGTCAGCTCCTCTCAGTCTCTCTTATCTCAGCCCTTCATAAGGGCCTGGTGTTCTTGCACTTAGTGGGATTCCAATTTAAGTCACCCAACATCAGCAAGGGCAGCACAGCTAGGCTGGGCAAATTGCCAGTACTTCACAATTTGCATAAAACAGCATAAAAGGCTTCTGCTGAATTTATTACAGCCAACAAAAAGTTTTTTAAAAAATAAGCACAGTAGGCTAGACAGCAGAATTTAGGAAAACACTATTATTATTGGATATTTTCATTCAAAAATGCCAAAACAACACAGGAGGCAGGCTGTGCTGTCAGTTGCAGGCCCTGCTACCATGGAGACAGCTTCTGTTTTTGGAAGAGACAGTTCTAGCTGCCTGAACTAAATATATTGACTTTAAGTCAGTGTATAATATTTGGAAGCATATGAAATACAGATTGCCATCATTGTGACCAGACATTTACTACATTAATACATTGTCTGTATATTGGTGTTTAAACCTTTAAAACAGAACTCTGAGGTATTTAATGCTTCTCAGGCAATGTCTTACATCCAAATTATACACAATGTGAAAGGGCAGCAGGCTGAGGTACGATGGAGGCCTTGTCTAGACTAGACTACATGCTCCAGGAAGCTGTAGAGAATGAGCTAAGGTACCTTCAGTTACTTCATCAGCTGTGACAACACATTTGGTTGGGTAACAATTTAAAAAGCGGGAAGCTGAAGTCTTCCTATGATTGCTGATATCTGCTGTAGGGATTTGTGAGATGGTTTGACTGACCAAGGAGCTTTGAACCTGTGAGTTGATTAATTTTGGGAGTGTTTTGGTGTGATAAGTTTCGGAGAGAGCCTAAAGTTTTAAGAGAAAGAAAGTTTTCTGAGTTGTCTAGAAGGGAAAATATTTATTTTTAAAACTGGAAAGCAGCTTAGTTGCCCAGTTTTGATAGGGACTGAAGCAGTCAAAGAAGAGCTACAGTAATATTTTGTTCTGGTTTGTTTTGTCTCCTTGCACTGTTAATGAGCTGGACTTGGTTTGTACCTTATTGCTCTGTCAGTGTTTTCCTTGATTAGGCCTAATTTAAAGATTCCATTACTGTATGCACAGTGGGATGTCACAATTTGAAGCAGACTTTGCTGTTCTGCTCTTAATTTATTTTTGGTAATACTGCTATTGCATTCATTGCAATTCAAAGTTTTCAAACTTTTTCTCATTTGGTCTCCATTCAGTGGAATAGCAGTTAGCACTGCTGTTTCAGGGCTACGATCCTGGGCTTGATGTTCGATTAAAATGTCTTACATGATGTGTTTTCATATTTCCCTTCCCTATGTGAGTGCCTTGGTATTTTTCCCTCTCAACCTCTCAACCTTTTTTCTCGATTTACTGGCATCTCTAAATTGTCCCTATGTCCTATCCACTGTTCAGTCCTGTTTTAAACCTTATGGCTATGGATAGGAAGTTTAACTCTTGTCACATACTGTATGTGGTCTGTTGTGACTGCATATTATTGGGAACAAGTGTTTTCTGATAATAGATGGCCTGCCTTGATTTATCTGAAAGAGAATAGACCTTAAGTTGTGCTCTATTAAATATTTAAACTATTTTTTGACTCCTTCAAGCAATTTAGTGAGCTATTTTACGTTAAAGACATTTTCAAACTAGCAGTTACTGCTAGGTGTAGAAGCAATTTATAAATACACCCTTGAAATGTTTTTTGGAAACATAGTGTCACTGAAATTTCTTCTGTCTGAGTCTAAAGGACACTGTGCTATACTCAGATTTTCTCTTACCAGGTGGAAAACCACACCTGTTACTGTATACACAGCTTTGCAATTTATAGTTTTAAAGCCTGCTTGAAAATCTGATTTCAAATTTTTAAAAAGTAGTGTTTGTGGTAATCTTGCTCTTAGGCTTTGCTCATCCATGCTTTCATAAACGCTGTGTCACAGAACTTGTGCTCATATCTAATTGTAAATCAGACCTGTTTAGGTCTGACAGTGTTTATGCACATATACTGTATATGTCATGTATTTATATATATATTAAACATATTTTAGAGTGCTTAATGTCGTTTTGCATCAAACCCATGTAATCCATCCATTCATTTTCTAACTGCTTTCTCCAATATGGGGTTGCAGGGGAAGTGAAGCCTATCCTGGCAAGAATGTACCTGCACTCTGTACAGGACCCCAGTCCATCTTAAGGCAAGCAGACACAAAGACCACACACTCACATCAGGGCCAATTTTCCCAGAAGCCAATTAGAGGGGAAGTTCAGTCCCAATTTTTCAGACCAGTTATTAAATCACGGTAACAAAATAAATTAAATGGCGTTATCACAGAATTTGACAAATTCTGAATTAAGCACCAAATCATGAACTTTGTTAAAGTAATGTATAATTACCAAGTTGACGTAAACCCATCGTCTTGCCACGATTGAGATCAATAGTTCGCCAGAACTGTGATGTGAGACGGCCCTTCCCGCTCACTAGTCACTGTAATGACTAATGTAATGTGAAGCATGGGTGAATAAGTACAGGTTGTGCAGCAGACATTTCACCGTAGAAATGTTCCAATGTGATCTGTATCCAGAATTAACGAGTTAGATTTGTCTGCAAAACCGTCTCAAAGTCGAGAGCAAAATTTCTATTGGATTAAAAGAGATGCATTTGTAAGCCTGGTTGTTTACAATGTAATAAAGCAGCTTCATCTCACCAGAAGTTTTATTGCTTCATTCTGAATCACAAAATATGGTGCTGTGAACACCTGGAAATTTTGTCTGCTTTGTAATGTAAATTGGATGTATAAGTGTATTTAATCATTTGAACCTCTATTACACACAGTGAGTGCCACTCAACTAAGCATGTGGCTGATAGTCTCAGGTAACTTTGTGCATTTAAATACATTTTTGAGCCACAGAAGAGGGTTTTAATACTTATGCAAGCATTGTTTTTGATTTTTTAATATATTTTTTCGTTTTGCCTTTGTGGAGAAGCCTGTGTATATTAAAATATTTGCTTCCTCTGTGTCATTTATGCAAGCTTTGAAGCAACAAAATGTGGAAACCGTGCAAGGGTTTGAGAAGTTCTGCAAGACACTGTACTGTATATGGAAGATTGCATAACACACAATAATTGTTCTATGTCCTTTAATAACTTTCAATTACTTAGTAGCATCATGGAAAAGCTGTTTTTTTGCTGATTTGCGTCTACCAACGCCACCCATAGAAGTATGCAATAGACTCACTACACTCAAAATAATCTAGCCCATGACTCACACATGGTCATATTAGCAAGGATTACTCTCTCCTCAATCCCATAGAAACAGACGCACGACCCCCTTCGTTCAGATGTACATCCTGGAGGATTTTCAAATGACTACACGTACTGTGCATGGCTAATTTGGGAGAAATTACTTTTTTATATAGGATGGTTAATACACTTTAATTGTGCTTGCGCTAAATGGGATATGTGTGGTGTATTTTATAGGTTTTTTGTCTACATCTGTCTGATGGGTTTTGTGAGCATGTCTTGTATTTGAACGTGCCTGTTTTTCCAGTGTTGGTGCTCCAGCAAATTCATCCATGCATGTGTGTGAGGCCAGGAAACCACAAATTCAAACTGCTCAAGACTGAATGATTTGGAGTGTCTGTGTAGTACTGTATGTGAGGTGTGTTGTGTGTCTGTCTAGTGTGCTGTATTCAAGTGCAATGTGTAATATATCATTTGGTTCATTTTCACCGACTCATTCTGTATTTTGTGTGAAGTGTCTAGCCATCTCTGTGCCCTGCGTTTGAAGTCTACAGTATATTTAAGCCCTGTACAGTACAATCTTAGTGTGCATGTGCAAGCAGGGCATGCTCAGTGCAATGGACTCACTCTTCTCCTGCAGCACTGTCAGCAGTGTGTCCAGATGGGATTTCAGCTCCTCTTCATTCTGCAGCCCCACCTTCATAGCTTCCAGGACAGCACTTAGAGAGTCTATGACACAGGGAGGACAGAATCACCTGGGCATGTCAGAATAACTGCACAGGTAAAGATCAGCCATTCGCCCTGCTTGCTAGCAATCACAGTTAGGAGCTGAAAGGTATTCTTGATCTCACACTGATAATCTTTCTAAGTTATGGATGATATAATATTAATTAAATTATTACAAAAGAGAAATGTTACATGTAAAAAAACATAGAAAACACGAAATAACTACATCATTATGCATGATTTAATTTTTCAATTCACAGTGATATCTGTGCATTGTGTTGCTCTGCCTTTGTTTCACTTATCACACATTCTTACAGGATTGGTGTTGCTGGCCCTGGGTAACGCTAATCCTGGATTCACTTACCTAAATCATCCATGATTAGTGGTATTCAGGGTAGTGGACCTACTGCTTAGAGGCTATGATTTATCACAGTACTGCAATCATATCAATCTTTTCCATGCAACAAGCAATGCCTTATGGAAATTCATTTAGCTTGGCTTGTGGTAAATGCAGTCTATAGTCAAGGTAGGATCCAAACAGTGAAGCGGGACATTTTGGAAAACAGCCTTGTCTGTGTTTCTTGTCTGTCAGAGACAGTGCACTTAGTGCTTGGTGAAAGCATCCAAATAAAACACATTGATGCTACTTCTCCAATACCTATATACGATTAGTAAACTACAACATCAGATTACAGTTTACAACACACTGTCAAGAACCCATATGCAAAGACATTGTCAGACCCTAATAAAGAGAAATTTCTCAATGAGCTACACCTACACCAAATAGGAAGGTCAACTTCTTATGGGGCACAGGTGCTGCTTGAAAATGTTATGCCGTCCAAGGTTAGTGCTGCATGGGTGTGATGTGTAAGAGCTCAAGTGCAAGTAACAGGACAGAGAGGAAAGCAGCCACATGTAGTGCCTTTGTCCAGGAAAAGCCAGCTGTCTGCTTCCCTGGTGACCGGAGAGGGGCTATAACAGTAAAGTGACACCCCTACTTAGACTGCCCATCCTAGCCTACCGACCAGAATCTGGGACCCTCGGCTCCAGGATGAGACCAGCTACCGAGCCCCCAGCGGGGAAGGAGCCGCACAGGTCTGGGAGGCAGCCCCCCAAGTAGCCAGGGGTGCAGGCCAGCAAATCCACAGAAAAGGGTGTCCCAAGTGTACAACTGCGCTCACCCCAGGGGTTTTACTGAGCTCCCAGGGCCGAGCAGGGTCTGAGCAGACTGCCTCAGCAGCAAGAGATGGGTGGTCAGCGTCTAGCCTGGGGACCTCAACCCTGGTGAAACAGATTTGGGCAGCCCCGGCTACCCAAGGAGCAGGATCCTGTGCTGAGCTCCAAGGGCAAAATAGGACATTCGACTCCAGAGACGCCGGTCTCATCCTGGCGTTGAGAGCCACAGGCAGGATCCTGGGAAATATGACCACCCAAAGAGACTGCTGAGGCATCTGCTGGGGAACCGGAGAGCCGACCAGCAGAGGCGGGATAAAAATAAAACCGGAACGGAGAAAAGAGTGCCGCCACAAAACAGAACGAACAGAGGAGAACAGGAATGAAAAGACAATGACAGCACCCCGATGAAGAAGGGATCTGGCTTTAAATAGAGAAGTCAAATGGATTAACTAAGGAGTGGATCTCTGAAGACATGCCATAGATTGTGAAACAGGAGAGAGAAGCCAGACCTCAAGATCATAGTAGTGCCTGCAAGACACTTGCATAGGACTGCAAGATACAATGTGTTAGGACAGGCAAGGTCGCCCAGTGAAAAAACCAATAACTCCAGTCAATTCAAAGATGCAACACAGAATAGAAGATGAACAGGTGGAAAGATTCATCTCACTGGTGCTGGCAGAAGCCAAGCAGTTAAAGATCCAGACATCTGCTATAAAGAACAGACAGAAATCGCATCTGCTCTTAAGCTGCAGCAACAATCCACAGATGCTGATATTGGGTGGTGACCGCTTCTTCCAACAGCTTAAAAACTTCATTGGTCATGTCTGGTCCACTGGAGCAGTTCTAGAAGCCTTACAGAAGGGTATCACTCTTTCCTTCAATAAGAGGAAAGGGTCTAGGCATGAGTTGATGAATTACCTTAGGATCGCAATCCTCTCTGTCACAGACAAGGACTTCTTAATTACTCTGTTGAACAGAGGAAAAAACCTACTAGAAAAACCAGAAGGAGACGAGAACACAGTAGCTTCACATAAGGCAGATCCATGATAGACAGAAGATGTACGCGGACAGTTCTTCTGCAGTCACGGTACAAATTTCAAAGACCGCTGTGGATCATCTACGAAATTCTGAGCAACATCAGACAAGGCTGTGTATTGATACTCGATACTACAGTAGAGTCTCAGGGGTCTTCTCTGTACAACACTGGGACACCTAGTATTCACAGACCTTGACAATGTAGATGATGTTGCAGTTTTTTCTCAGAAATCTCAGAAATGCTGGAAGTTTTTTTGTCTTTGGAGGCTCTCATTTGTTCAGGGCCATTTGTTCTCAAGGTGACAAAACCAAGATCCAGGTGGCTGTACATGATGATAATATTCCAACACAAGTGTCAGTACAGGACCATACTGCGAAAGTGGAGTCCTTCACCTGGCTCAAAGTCCAGATCCATAACACAAGGAACAGTGAGTCAGAAATATAACGTTGAATAGGAATAGTGCATACCAGCGTGCTTGCACTGGACAGAAACATCTGATTCTCAAATACATGACTTGACTCAAAGCTGTGGCAATGGCAATAACCCCATCACTCCTGTGCTGTTGCAGTATGTGGCTTGGAGACATGATTGACCACTTCCATTCTCTAATGTCATCTGGATGCATTCAACAAGTAGCATCTGTGTAAGATACTACGTTTGTCATATCACAACCAAACCACCAACGCAGAAGACAATGTCAGAATAGAGCAAGAGTCTGTGATGATCTTAAGGAGAAACAGTTCTGCATGGTGCAGAACTAACCTGTTGGCTGGACATTTTTCATGGTCAGAGCAGCCCTCCAGCTGGGAGTTCACCACAGATACTGATATAGAGCCACAGAGAGCTTCACAGAATTATCCAGCAGTTGACAATATCGTGCAACAAATACTACCCTGCATTTGTTTGGTTAGGATTTTCTATTGAATTATTGTTAACTGAATTGTAACTTATTAGGTCAATAAATAAACTGTTATGTGGTATATTACTTACTTTATGCATTGCCTTCATTTTTACAGCTCATTGACTGCTTTGAAAGTAGGTCTCTGTGAGTAAATGCACATAATTTAATAATCATACATTAATAATATTGTCATTTCACTTCATCAGGAATGAAGTGCCTGTACCAGTTTAGCACTCCCACGCTGAAAAGCTTAATCACACCATGAGATGAACCATCCTGTCAGTGGATTATCTGTTCTATACAAGATTCAAGCAAGAAAGGAACAACATGGACTAATTGGCCTAATTGTGTTTGTTTCTGTTTTAATGGTGTAGAAAAATTTAAAAACATGTTAAAATGTTTTCTTTCAAATACAAAACTTATAGGGGCAACGTTCAGAGCTTTTTGTTCCAGAACATATTTTTCTGCCTGTTCTCCAAAGCAGAATAAATAGTGAATAGGAAAAATATTTTCCCTTATATTTCAGCTATTTCTTTTTTATAGATATTACATAATATTTTTATGGAAATTTGTTTATTTTTAGATATGTAGATCATTTAAATTTTTGAGCTGAGGAAATTTCACATCAAGAAGGTATTTTGATCCCACTTTTCTAAAAAGCTGCCTAGTTGCAGGTGACAAACACAAGTGTGGTGCATTAAGAGAGAATCGCTCCACATAATTCAACATCTGCTCTCAACAGAAGGTGCTCAGAAAAGCGGTGGTGTTTTTGAGTCTTGGTGGTGCGAAGGAGTGGAGTGAGAGAATGTCCTGTGTCAGCGTTCCCCTGCCGCAGGCACAGTACAAATGTGGAACTCCACTTCTCCACCTCAAAAGCCAATCCTGCACATCTCCCAGCCAGCGACAAGCAAACTGGGCTGGAAGGAGATGAATCAATCAGGCCGTGTGCGACAGCTGTCACTCTCCAACTATCCTGAAGTGACCCCATCTTTTCAGTTTTCTTTGTGGCTTCTGACAGCTAAACACAGATACATACAAGAGCTTGTGGGTGTGCAGCCAAGCACGGCCCAATTAATAAACAGTGTCATACTGATGACTTTATGAGTGCTTATTCCTGCTCATGTTCCTGTGGAGTCTGAATTTTCCCCCACAGCATCGATATAACTGTGATAAAACTCTGCTTGTTGGAAGAGCATCTGCATTAGGCCGTGTATACAAGGTATCCAGATTCTGCTGGGCTTGAGTCTGCTGTGGAGTTGTGCTGGGTATTGTGTAGCAAACAATATTTCTGCATAGTTTAACACAGTGTGCATTCACTGAATCTATCTTTGTATAGGAAGAAAATGGCATATGCTTATGAATAAACCACTAGTGACTTGTCTACTACATCCTGATATTGATACGAGGATCCTACTATTAGTATAATTCTGTCAGCAAGTGAGAGAATCAACATCCACATGAATGCTAAACCAGTTCAGTGGCTGTGTGTGTCAGTCGGCATTTCATCCTGGCTCACTACATGAAAGATGTGTGTTTGTGCACAAAGCAGTGCTTGCATGAATCAGTCACTTAGTGAATGAAAACACATTGTGAAGAACTGCTGCTAGCTGTCTGTTAAACACAGAACAGTCCCATGTGAGATGAAGAGCATTTGCATATTTCCAACTTCCCTGAACATTCAGCAATGTAAGAGATTTAAAGAATCTTTTGCATTTATAGGAGCAGATTCATGAAGATATTGCCTTTAGAACAATTCACTGCAGATAACCGAATCAGAAAATAATGGAAACACATAAAAATGCCATTCTGGCTCTCACTGTTTTGCAGTCATAATACCCTTGAACAAGGCATGTAACCCTTAAATAAATGTTGTGACAATAGGTATAATTTCTATGAGAACAGACAGATCAGGCTATCCTGTGCTCATGCAGGTTTTATGTCAGTTTTCCAAAATTGTGCAGCTTTACGTTTGCTAGAGGCTGTGGCAGCCCTTCAACTTTTGTGTAGCACCTCCCTGACCTGATTGGTTAGTGTTGGTTTTTTTTATTCAGAACCGAGGGCTTCCAACTGGTGGTGAGTAGAGTAGTAGCCAGGACAGCAGTTACCGTTTTACCATTCCAAACACACCCGAGGCGTTTTGGCTCACCTTACAAGCTCTAGGACTGTCCTGAGTGAAATAATCTCTAAACCTTTTATGCGCCTCTGATTTCTAGAAGCCACCCCACCAGACCACAGGAAATAAAAATGCACTGGGCAGGGGGCCATAGTGGCAGCCGTGATTTTGTCCTCAAAAGACAATAAATGACCTTTAAAACATACACACCCAGAGAGACTGCTGAACGTAAAGATGGGAGAGAAAGCATCTGGGTGGATGCAGCACTTACCCATGGCTGCAGTGCAGTGTGGCAAGACAAGCTCTTTCCCCGCCTTTCCCCTCTGTCTGCCAGTGTGTCTGCTCCTGTGAAGGGTTCGGCAGCCTGCAGTCCAGACTCGCTCAGCCTCTCAGTGCACTCTGGAGAGCTGCGGTGCAGATCCTTACTGTCCCTCCGCACTTCTCCCTCTCTCTCCTGACTCACACAGCACCCTCACGCTCTCTCCCTCTCTCGAACATGTGCTCTCTCTCTCCTCTCCCCCCAACCCCCCTCCCCCTTCTCTCTCTCCTCCACTGCCTCTTTCCCTCTCTTTCTCCTTGCTAATACGCTTTAGATCCTAAATCTCTCCAAAGCTGCTCTGCATACAATTAGCCTCTCGAAGGCACTGTGACTGAAATACACAGTGAAATACCAAGCAACACTTCGAATTCTACCTGAGATCATACTGTTCACCAAGCAAAGCCCTGTTCACACTTTCTGATGTTATTAATGACTTGTGTGAAGGGTGGCACAGCATGGCTGCTTTTTAGTGCTGTGTCTCTGGGTTCAATTCTAGACCTGGGGTGCTATCTGTGTGGAGTTTCTCTGTTCTCCCCCGTCTTCGAATGGGTTTCCTCTGGGTCCTCTGTTTTTTCTCCCACTGGTCTCTCTCTGGATTTGGGTGCTCTAGTTTTCTCCCACAGTCCGAAAAAACATACTAGTAAGTAGGCTAATTGGCTTCAGGGAAAACTAGCCCAGATGTCAGAGTGATGGACTGGCCTCCCGTGCAATGTGTATACTACCTTGTGCCCATTTCTCGCCAGGACAGGCTCTGTCTCCCCCCTGACGCTGTGTTATATAAAGCGGTTTGCAAATGGAATTGTGTAAATTGTTTTTTCTATAGGAGAAAACCAAAAGACTGGTGCCTGTGCCCTTTTTAAGAGTGCATACAAAACATCTCAAACATCTGACACCAAAGCATATAAAATTAAAATAATTATTTCATTAGAAATGTGATCATCTCAGAAGAGAAATTTACTGTTATCACTATTTTAACAGTCAAGGCCATTTTATTATTATTATTGAACCAGATGATATCAGAGACAGAAAAAGGGGAATTTCAGTTTTGTTGCTCAAATCTATGCAACATTTTAAAATCATGAACTTCTTTTTTGTTTTGAATTTTATTGGTCTTTCAAGACTTTATAGTGCAGCTCTCTTAACAGAGAAGTGACCCAACATTTGAACGGATTTGCTGATGGTGCTCTTTTAATAAATTGCCACATTTAAAAAACACTGAATGAGTTTTGCACATTATTGGTATTATAAGGCTATTTATGCCCTTGCAATTTTTGGATATTTGATAGGAGGATGTCTTAACAAGTCTGAATAATCCCTATAATTATCCAGAAGCTGCATGTAATGATGTTGCTTTCAGCTCCTATTCATCAGTATGTGTTTGGATTAGAAAGGAATGTAATGTAGTGAAATGAGAGGATGGTAATTGTTGCTGTTGGCTCTTTCATGTTCTGGAATTGATAAATTAGCCTGCTGTGGCAGGCCAGCAGGAGGGGAGATAGTAAATTCAACTGACCTGCCACAAGAGGACATTGGGGCCTCAATAGTTTGTACACAGGTTCACATGTGGTGCATTAATTGATTAATTAGTTAGGTGGTGAAGGGCTGAGACCCACATTTACACATTGTGTTGATTTAGACTAGTTTGGCATATAAAAAATGTACAGAAGCAGCTGGGGCTAGGTTTGTGTGTAGGGGGTTTGGGAGTGGGATGATGTGATTATAGGATGTTAAAGTCTTTGAACACCAATATGTTCGTCTCGTGTGATTTCTGTGTGCTCAGGCCTCATTAGCTGCCTTTGGAGGGGTAGATCTGTCATGCCTGCCATTTTAATTATATTAATGTACTCATTTCTGACCCCTGTCATACATGTGCATCTGAATTAACATTGATTTAGACTTGGTCACATTATTACAAACTGATCAATTCCAAATGAAGCTAAATAAGGAAAATGATACCTGTAGAGTTCAGTTTGAATAGGTGTATTTGGAATGGGTGTCCAGGACTGGAGTGAGGAAATGAAATGCAAGAACATAAGAGGCTACAGATAAAAACAGAATCCTCTTATTTGCGTTCATTTTTCCCATCTTGCTAAAAACCAGATCCTACGGGGGCAAGTCTCTGCTTTCTTCCACCTTAGATGTCAGCTCCCTAGCCATCTAATTGTTCAATTAACTGCATGGATGGAATACTTCTAAATAGGTTCCAAGTGTTTAATGTACTGTATATCTGTGATTTGTAGGCCTGAATAGGTTCCTCTTCTTTTTCCCTTAAGCTGAGGGAAGTGCATGCTGTCGTGAAAGTTTCAAAACTTCCTGCCACATAAACTTTCATGTTTATGTGGCAGGAAGTACCACATAAACATGAGCCACACACGACAGCTCGCTGGGACAGAGCTTAGCCTGGTTTCTGGGTGTGAAGTGATCACAGAGCACAAGATTGCCCCCTGGATGGGGTGGCAGTCCATCACACATCCTTCACCCAATGCTGGGTCCCATTCATACAGCTGGGTTGGGGGACTGAAGTAATCAAGGTGACATACTCCACTAAAGGTACAACAGTTTGAACCAGGGACCTGAACCCACAATCCACCAAGCAAAAGTCCAGAGATTTACTTGCTATGCTAACCAAATCAACTGTAGTAAATATAATATTCACTGCTATTATCTATAAGTATGAGCAGCCATATCACCATATCACCCTGCAACTCACAACTGGCAACCCACTGAAGCTAAGCAGGTGTGAGCCTGGTCAGTACCTGGTTGAGAGACCTCCTGGGAAAACTAAGGTTGCTGCTGGAAGAGGTGTTAGTGGGGCCAGCAGGGGGTGCTCACCCTGTGGTCTATGTGGGTCCTAATGCCCTTTGGATGAGATGTAAAACTGAGGTCCTGACTCTCTCTGGTCATTAAAAATCCCAGGGTGTTTCTTGTAAAGAGTAGGGGTGTAACCCCGGCGTCCTAGCCAAAAATTCCCATTTGCCCTTATCAATTATGGCCTCCTAATAATCCCCCTCCATGAATCCTCCCCACTGATAGCTGATGTGTGGTGAGCATTCTGGTGCACTATGGCTGCCGTAGTATCATCCAGGTGGATGCTGCACATTGGTGGTGGTTGAGGGGAGTACCCATTACCTGTAGAGCACTTTGAATGGAGTGTCCAGAAAAGCGCTATATAGTGCTATATAAGTGTAAGCAATTATTATTATTATTAAGTATATTCAGCACAATATAGAAAAGAGTGTTTTTATTCAATATCAGCCTTCCAGTGCTCTTAATATCCTATTTTCCTATTTTCCTGCACACTATATGTTGTTGCCATCTTTCATCTTTCATAAAAAGATATTATTTAACTAGAGCTCAAAATCCTGCAATGGCCCTCAAATTAAGACACATAACTGTTCCCTGCTAGTGAGTCCTTAGGGAAGAGAACGGTGCTGCAGTCTGCTTCACTATGGTGAAGGACAGAAATATCTGTTCACCTCTACTGATCTCCTTTCAGTACTCTGACAACTTATAAAGCATTGTTTCTCCTATACAGATATTTGTCAAATGTGACAAACAACATATTTAATAGAGAAAAGTCACAGTGCACAAACCTCGCCGGACGTCCTTAAAACCTCAAAAGGCAGTTCAGCGATACAGACATCGTTACAGTACAACAGCCAAATGCAGAGAACGGCCCTTGTCTTATAAGTTGTTTAACAATCTCTTTTGAAAAGTATCTGAATTTGCACCTGTACAAATTCTCCGAGGTGCTGCATCTCTGCCCTGTTACCCTTCTAATAGTAATTTAAAACAACCTCCTCCCACCTAGTGGATATCTATGGCAGTGCACTTGTGCTTCCACTTGCTGTGCTTCAGGCAGATGAGTCAAAGGCCTCCTCAAAGCAAACAGTTCATATTTAAAGAGTTCTATTGGTACAACCAATGAGTTACAGCATTTATTGACATTTTCAACAGAAGCATTATTATTATTAGGAACAATTAAGTTAATTCCATGCTGAAATATACAAAGACTCAGTTGTCACACATCAACTCCTCCATCACAGAGTCCCTGGACCCCTTGCAGTTCGCCTACCAGAACAACAGATCAGTGGATGATGCTGTCTCCCTGGCTCTGCATACAGCCTTGGAACACCTGGACACTAAGAACTCGTATGTGAGAATGCTGTTTGTGGACTACAGTTCAGCATTCAATTCCATCATACCCAGTCAACTGGTGACAAAGCTCAGGGGATTAGGTCTGTGCAACTCTGTCTGCAACTGGCTGCTGGACTTTCTTATCGAAAGACCACAGGTGGTGCGGATAGGCAATAAAACATCAACACCACTCACCCTGAGCACTGGAACCCCACAAGGCTGCTGTCTGAGTCCAAGGTTGTACTCCCTATTTACTCACGACTGCACAGCAAGACACAGTAACAACCGCATCATTAAGTTTGCCAATGACACCACTATAATAGGACTGATCAGTGATGATGACGAGTCCACTTACATGGGTGAAGTTGTACAGCTACTTAGGTGGTGTCATAGCAATAACCTGGACTTGAACATAAAGAAAACAAAAGAGATAATAGTGGACTTTCGGAGACACAGGCCATACACTCACAGCCCACTCAGTATTGATGGAACGGAAGTGGAAACAGTCACCAGCTTTAGGTTTTTGGGAATTCACATCTCTAAAGATCTAACCTGGACTGTGAACAATGACTCTATCATGAAGAAGGCTCAGCAGCGCCTTTATTTCTTGAGGTGCCTCAAGCAATGGGGGATGCCAATACATGTGTTGGTGAACTTCTACCGCTGCACCATCGAGAGCTTCCTCACCAACGGGATCACCTTGTGGTATGGCAACACCTCTTCGCGAGAAAGAAAGGCACTGCAGAGAATGGTCAATATGGCCCAGTAGATCATCGGCTGCGGTCTCACCGAGATTAAACAGCTCCATGAGGACCGCTGCCGTGGTAGAATTCTGGCCATCACAGAGGACAGTCACCACCCCGGGCATGAGCTCTTCACCCCACTGCCCTCAGGCAAGAGATATAAGAGCATACGGACACTTACCACTAGATTCTTCAATAGCTTCTATCCACAAGCAGTGAGACTGGTGAACACATTTAGCCATCCCCCTCGGACCACACGTACACCATCACCATCTACCTCT